ACATATCAGATAAAGGGCTAGTATCCAAAATCAACACCCAAAGAACAAATAATCCAATCAAGAAATGGGCAGAAGACATGAACAGACATTTCTGCAAAGACATACAAATGGCCAACAGACACATGAAAAAGTGCTCAACAAAGTGCTCAACATTGCTGAGCATCAGGGAAATCCAAACCAAAACCTCAATTAGATACCACCTCACACCTGTCAGAATGGCCAAAATTAACAAGTCAAGAAACAACAGATGTTGGCGAGGATGCAGAGAAAGGGGAACCCTCCTACACTGTTGGTGGGAATGCAAGCTGGTGCAACCACTCCGGAAAACAGTATGGAGGTTCCTCAGAAAGTTGAAAATAGAGCTACCCTATAACCCAGCAATTGCACTACTGGGTATTTACCCCAAAGATACAAATGTAGTGATCCGAAGGGGTACGTGCACCCTGATGTTTATAGCAGCAATGTCCACAATAGCCAAACTGTGGAAAGAGCCTAGATGTCCATCAACAGATGAATGGATGAAGAAGATGTGGTGTGTGTATATATGTATACACACACACACACACACACACACACACAGAATGGAATATTATGCAACCATAAAAAACCCGAAATCTTTCCATTTGCAACAACGTGGATGGATAGAGGGTATTATGCTAAGTGAAATAAGTCAATCAGAGAAAGACAATTATCATATGATCTCACTGATTTGAGGAATTTGAGAAACAAGACAGAGGATCATAGGGGAAGGGAAGGAAAAATGAAACAAGATGAAACCAGAGAGGGAGACAAACCATGAGTTTCTTAATCTCAGGAAACAAACTGAGGGTAACTGGAGTGGAGGGAGGTGGGAGGGATGGGGTGGCTGGGTGATGGACACTGGGGAGGGTATGTGCTATGGTGAGCGCTGTGAATTGTGTAAGACCGATGAATCACAGACCTGTACCCCTGAAACAAATAATACATTATATGTTAATAAAAAAAGATAACCTGCTGAAGGACTCCCCTAAACAGGTAGGCTCCCCTAAAGAAGTGGTATTCAAAGCGTTCATCCATCAACCACAAGAACTTGACCAGAATCTGAATCAGTAATTGACTTCCTTCACTTAGCAAATATGCTACAAAAAATGTCCGTTGAGCTTAACAGTGTGCCCAGAAACTTACATTCTAGTGAAAACTCCCTTATCTTTTCACAGAGCAGGAACAAAAAGTTCAGGGCAGGAGCCAGTCCCAAGTTTTTCGAACAACCAGCATCAATTTTGCTGTGAACTCTAAACCTCCAAGTAAAATCCAGAAACTTCCCCAGCCTCTCTAGCAGCCAGGACAGAGGTATATGACCTAGGATCTACCAAATCTGAGGTGCCCATTATGTTTTGTTTTTTTTTGTCCCCACCCATGTACATTTTTTATTATAAGACAGGGAAGGTTTTAGGTAAAATTCTTTATTCTGGTCAGGGCTGATGCATCTGGCTTTTGGGAGGCGCTGACGCAGAGACTGACATCTAGTGGCCAGCAATAATGGTGCAGGCTGTAGTGTCCATTCCAAGGCCTTCAGTGTTGTTAGCTAGAGGGCCTGAGACATGGTTTAGACACTGTAGCTTTGAAGCCTGACTCCGGCCCTCCCAAAGATTACTTGGGTTATTCTACTACTCATTTATAAAGTTTAAAATAGCTTTCAAAATTAGACATTAGACATCCTTACATTTTTGTGAGTGATTTTAATCCTACTGAAATGTAACAATCAAAAAAATCCAAAACTGATCAAGAGTTTGTATCTTATACAAAATAGGAGTGTTAACGCATATTATTTAGCCATATTAACTTCTAAATTTTAACTCTAATCAAAAGGTCAAAACAATTCTAGCATTGCTATCTTGAATTAAAATTAGGCACCTGTAATTTGGACCTCTAAAAATAACTCATATTTCTCCTACGGAAACAAAAACTGGCTATTTGGGGTGGGCGGTCTTATGATGAGCATGCAGTTCAAGGTCAGAAAATCATGAGTCCATTCTCTCCTCTTCCCTTTTCTCAACCCACAACCAGGAATATGCAAAAAAGAAATCAGCTTGGTTAGTGCAGGAGACTACTAATTTTTTGTCTGGGATGGGTTTTAGCCACTGTAATTGTAGGTCTAGTTTGTTTCTTGGGGGTGGGTCCTTGGTATTATAGAATATTTATTTAGGGACTTCTCTTTCCTCTAAGAGTTAAGGAAACATTTTAGCTACTAAATGATAAGCAAAGACAACCTTCTATAGAAGCAAAAATCTTGTTTCACATTTAAATAGAAATAAGTGTGAGGGGCACCTGGGTGGCTCAGTCGGCTTTGTGTTTGACTTGGTTTGGGCTCTGGCCATGGTCTCAGGGTCATGAGATCCAGCCAGTGTTGAGTCTGCTTGCCTCTCTCCCTCCCCTGTTGTCCCTCCCCCCACCGCTCAGGGGTACATGCATGTGCACTCTCTCTCAAATAAATAAAATCTTAAAAAAAAAAAAGTGTTGAGACACATACTTTAATCAGTCATTTCTTTTAATATATTTTATTCTGATGAAGTTACAAAAGTAGATACAAAATACTTTCTTTAAAAGTACAATTAACTTAGAAAAATAGATAAAGCCCCTAAAGGTTTAGAAATACAACATAAATTCTCATGTAAAGAACATTTAAAAATATTTTAGATGGTAACCAAGACTAACTTATGCAAACTACTGCTGATGTAGACCAAACATAGAATGTTCTATAAAAAAACCTACAGCACACTGGTAATCCATTTGGATTTACAGACTACTTGTTTGGAATAGAATCTGAGAATGAGAGAAAACCCAAGTGAATTTCAGTGCAGTTGCTTCACTAAAGTCACTGCTATCACATGTAATATCATCCCCCAAAGCCTTTTATAGTCTGAAATATCAAAATCTAATGCAAACACACAGGAAGACTGAGGGACCACTATTTTCCCTCTTTGCCATAATTCTACAATAGTAAAAATCAAATCCACTTACTGAACTGACTTCAGGAAGCAAGAACGTCCCTGGTGAAGGGGCTCAGTGCTCGGGGTCTTGGCCAGCATCTGTCAGGCCAGGGTTCTCAGCCTCCTGTACCAGGCAGGTAACACCAGCACCAGGTCTGCTGCTGCTCAGGAACAAATTTCTAAGACTTGGACTCTTTACGGCTGATTTGTTTATGCTGATGAGGTAATGGTGTTCTGTTTAGAAGCTCCACTTCTAGTATAACCTCACTGGTCTGAGAGAAAGCCAACGGTATAATCGGAAAACCTCAAAAATGTTTGCAAAAGTTAAAATCACCAGCGGATTGCTCCTCTTGCCTCTGCACTACTAGGAAAGCCTTCCCTGTGTTATCACAGTCTTGATGAATACAGATTTGCATTTCTCAAGCAGGCAGCAGCTTAGAGAAGCTAGGGCTCTGCAAGTCTAAGATGAAAGGAAATTTGTTAGCTGGCAGCCCTCTAAAAATCACTTTGTTCACAGTCTGGAGAATAAAGGAGACATTTGGCTATCAAAACAAAAACGGTAGTACGAAGAAGTTTTAATAAACAAAAATCTGCACATCATTCTCTAAGTTTTTTAAAGGCCCAGAAATTAAGCACCTTAGGACTACCTGTGTAATTTAGCAAGCACTCTCCACCCCGTGACTGTACTCAGGGGTGAGGAGCAGCAACCAGACCCTAACAGGAGGTGACCTCTGATTCCGGGGGTGGGGGTGGGGGGGGGGGTGGGGAAGGGCAGGGAGGGTTGTGGAACAGGCAGACCCCGGGCACAGGAAGATAAATCACAAGGAAGAAGACTCCAAGACAGACGGATTCCTTCCAACTCTTCTCAAAGACTGGCCCTCTAGCCCAGGCAGGAGGGCCTCACCCTCCCCCCTCCTCCAGTTCTCCTGCTCTCTACTCCCTGGCTTTAGATGTGAACAAGCAGTGTTAATTTAATGGTTAGGTGCATTGTTGGTTAAGCCCGGTTAGCCTGCGAACCTGGTAATGTGTTTATTATTTTAAAAAAGGACATTCTGAGTCTCAAATTACCAACAAATTTTTTATTTATGTCTAAGCATGTGACCATCTTTGGTTTGTTTTGGGATGCAGTCATGAAGAGAGGGAGGATTTCTATCACTGAAAATAAATAGGAGAAAAGTGAGAACTCCTTTAAAAATCATGTGAAATATGAGAAATGATGGAAAGTACAATCCTAGTTGAGAAATAGAATTTCATTCCTTGAAGACTTAATTAAAGCCAAAGTTGAGAGGCAGTTAACATTCTGGGTGGCATCTAGAAACCTGCTTCCTTGTTCATAAATGATCAACACAAACACACAGAACTGCGGACAGGGACCTTTGGATAAGCTTAAAACACGGATTGTGGAATGTTTCAGAGGGCTTTTTTTTTTCTTCCGTAAGGGATTATCCCGTTTTTTAACTCCTGAAACAAAGATACATGGTTTCAGCCTAAATAAAATAGATGAAAGGTTTTGTTTCCTTTAAAATTCTGTATATCTGGATATGAAACAGAGTTATAAAAATGGAATTCCTAAGCAATTTTTTTCTTTATACTTTAGTGGAGTAATAAAAATAAATAACAAAAAACCTAACCAATATAACCTTTTATCAAAGCCATCAAGGGAGTTGGTGAGCACTGCAAAAATCCCAGCTCTGAAATCACACAGAGTGCTAATGGACTTTAAGCAATGCTGGTCGGTCAAGTCTTCAGCAGACTTGTGCCCAGTACATTCTTGACAGGCAGCTGGAGTTTATAAATCCTAGAGACCTAATGAAAATTAGACCTTTATTTCACTAAAGGGGAAGATTTTTTTTTTTATCCCAACAGAAGTAGAAGAATTTCAAGTTTTGATACAAAAACAATTAAAACAGGATTAAACCCCCTATCGGGGCTCAATCCATCCTCTGACTACTAACAGAATGAAGTAAGATCTTTTACTTATTCCTCCCATTTAGTTCACACACACACACACACACACTAGGTAGCACACCAAACTTTAAGCTGTGTTATAAAATGTGTACACCTTCAAGGTTTTTTATTATGGTCTTCCTTAAGTTTTATCCTTGTTGGGATTAAAGCCTGGGCATTTCGACACTACCCTTAACTAAGTCTCAAGTCACAATAAAAACACATAGAATTCTTGTTTTTGTTTTAAAGGACACTCAAAAGAAAATCAAGTACTCTGAGTACTTTCTTCCACTCTCCTCTCCAGGATCTTAGGGGCTCTGAAAAACAACATGAATGAAAATAGTGGTTCTGAGACCTAAATTTGTCATAATTTTTTGGAGTTTTCTTTCTTAGCCAAAAGCTACCTATTAAAATTAATCTGAATGAAGCATTTCAAAATAAAAATGTACAAGACTATCCTTTCATGCCTTAAGAAAATTATTTCTGATATACATACTCCTAAAACTTTAGATAGGTTTATGTGAATAAAATCCCAAATAAAGATTAAAAAATAAAGTCATTTTAGAAATAACTCTGGTTACTCCCATACCACATAGGTCATGAGGATTTAAACTACAATCATGGATTCTGAAAAAATAAACATATATATATAGTCTTATCTATAAAAACACTAGCATACAAACTTCAAACTAAAAGGTTATCCAAAGTAACACACAAATGCTCTAAATCTTAAGGAAACTTAAAAATACCTCTTCTATTTGTAAATAAAAACTGATCTGATTGCGTTATTAGGTAATTGGTTCTAGAAACTTGTTAATAAAGTATTGGTGGAAATTCTCAATAGCCATTATGCTATAACCTGAAGCACTCAATCATTTTCTTCAGTAAAAGAATAAGTAAACTAAGAGACTACATGTTAGTCATCCCATAATACAACCAAGTATAACACTGACAATAACAGGAGTGGTCACACAGTGCCTCAGTCGGCTGCCTTTTGAATTTCTCGCTGAAGGATCAGGCCAATCTACCTTTGGGACAATTTTATCAGTAGACACCAACAACAGGTGTCTTTTTATCCTGTTTTCTTAAAGTCTGTATCACTAGTCTATAACAAATAGCAGTGAGATAGCTCTAGCAGATGAAGCAAGAGGGTAACTGTGTTCTAGAAGAAACATTTATCTGTCTTTCGATCCAAGCTTCTCAATTAATTCCTGAAGAGGTGCCAACTCACGCCTATCAATCAGATTAAACTCCTAAAAAGAGAAGAAAAGTAAAATTTAAAAATAGGCCTAAAATTAAAACTCCATAAATGTCATTGAAAGAAGGGATTCCCAGCCCTGGTTTTCTGAAATCCAAAAAATGATGAAATGATCTCTGTGAACGTTTTAAAATGGGATCATTTTTACTCATTTTTTAAAATACAGGGGATTTACCAAAGAAGCAACTGTATTAGCATGATCCTCACTGTGTAAAACATTAAAATCCAAATTACATATATGTTTGCATTTACATGGAAATGATCTTAAAACCATACAATGAACTTCTGACAGTGGCCCCCTCCTGGGCAGTGGCCCTTTGTCTTTCATAGAGCTATACTGTGTCTACACCTACCCGCGTCCACGCTACCGCCCTATCTGTCCCGCGTCTGCATCTACCCGCATTCGCATCCACGCTACCACTATGTTACTGCTCTACACTCTCATCTGTGTCTGCATCTACGCACCTGTATCAGCACCTACACTCTGCCGAGCTCTGTGCCATGCAACAATCTCAGAGCACAGTACATTATCCTTTGTGTGGCACATATAATTGAAATACACAATATCTACTATAAAACTCCTGGCTTTTCTGTCAAAAAACAGTATCTAGACAGACATACGTACATTATGCATAGAAACTATGGATCTCTAAAGTCGCTAAAGGAGTCTCTTTAGTAGCTTTTTCAAACAATGCGAATTATTTTGATTTTAAAAAAGTTCCAATTCCAATTAAGGGTCCTTTAGGTAACAGGCCCCATCTTTGAAGGGGGTGGTCCTTTTTGAAGTTTCTAGCTGCTGACTTCATAAGATTTGGCCTGAAATGGGGTTTCTAGAAGCTTAAACTAAGAGAGCAGCTAAAAAGTTCTTCCAAAAGTTTCTCTCCCAGGCAGAAACATCTCATGAAACAATCCAACTGCAGACGTTTTTCCATTGCATCCTTTCACTCAACAGTGGTGATGGAACAGGAGGGTGTGGACAAGCTGTCCTGGAGTCTTGGTGCTCCCTGTCATATCCTAACTGCAGACCCGGCTGCCGCAGCCAGGGGCAAAAGGCCCAAAATGGGGGTGATGCTTTCTATGTTGCTACGCCCACCAATGAAATAAACATGGAAAAGAGAAAAGAGACAGCTCTGCTTATACTTTGCTCTACATCTATAAATTAGACAACTCTATAAATTACTCTGTATTAAAATTAACAAATGAGTCCAAGTCAAAGGACAAAGATGTCAACATGGTTCAACTTACCTGAACAAAGAAAATAAAGTGCTTAAAGGAGGTGTTGAGGTGGGCCTCCTCTTGCAGCTGCATCACAGAATCAAAGTGCTGGTGATAAATATGGGCATAAACCCGGAACAGACGCTTCAGAATGGTCTTTGCCACAGACATAAAGTTTTTGGGAAATGGGACACCTGTAAGCAAATACATATATATTAATTGTCTTTTATCTAATTGAATAGCATAAAGTTTAGAAGCTGCCATAAGCAACTCCAACACACAAACACACACATTCACAAATATAAGACTGTTTTCCATACATATACTTTTTTAAAAGACAAAAGAAAAAAAATCCAAACACAGATATATGAGGTATCCTCACATAGCACACTTTTTCTTACGTTTATAAGGTACCACTGAATCAAAGTTAAAATAAACATAACTTTAGCTGTTTAATACCAGAGAGTTTCTTCCTAAGATTAATACAAGTATTTTGACTATAAATAAAAACCTTCTATTTTTGTAATTTATAACTCTAAAAATTTTTACACACACTCAACTAGGAATGAATACTAAGCAAGAGAAAAAGGCATTATAATCTACTGTCTATAAATACAAAGTATTTTATCTTCTGAATTACCCTGAAAAACCAGTTTTCTTTCTTAAATCAAGGAGTCCCCAACTTTTTATCTTTTCAAAGTGCTATTTTAATTTTCCTGTATTACAAGATAGGACAAACTTCCTGAAAAAGGGAGGAAGAGCACCTCACTATTTTGCAAAGAAAATAAACACTTCCTTAGAAAAGAATGGGGAGAGGGTTTGGTAATCTCTGGTCACGTTCCTGAGAATTCTGGTTGACAAGATCAAAGTCTTCGGAAACAGGGACAGGAGAAAGACAATACAAGTGGCACTGAGTACAGTATATAAACACATTAAGAAGTCATCAGCTTCCAAAATAACCTAGATGAGGCAGCCTTAAAGGCTAGTTCCACAACACTACTCAAGAAACATTTCCTTTTCTTCAGTCTTTCAGAAAACAAAAGGTTAAAACTTTCTCCTTGCCTGCATTTTAATTTCTTAACCAGTCCTTAAAAGCTTGAAATTTAGTATATTTTGCTCTTGCAAGCTAATTTTTCTGGCCCCCCCCACCCCATCTTGGCTAACAACTGCCATGTGCATTTTTTAAAAAATTTTATTTATTTAAGGGGCACCTGGGTGGCTCAGTCGTTGAACATCTACCTTCAGCTCAGGTCATGATCCCAGAGTCCTGGGATCAAGCCCCGCATCGGGCTCCCTGCTCCGTAGGAGGCCCGTTTCTCCCTCTCCCACTCCCCCTGCTTGTGTTCCCTCTCTTGCTGTGTCTCTCTCTGTCAAATAAATAAATGAAAAAAATCTTTAAAAAAAAAACAAAAAATTTTATTAAGGTAAGCTCTACACCCAGCGTGGGGCTTGAACTCAAGACCTCTGGAGATCAAGAGCCACATGCTGTACTGACTGAGCCAGCCAGGTGCCCCTAACAACTTGCATTTTCAAACTTTATTCTGGAGCTTGTGAGCATGTTTTTCTGGACTGGGGTCTTTTTTTTTTTTTTTTTAAGATTTTTTTATGTATTCATTCAAGACACAGAGATACAGAGAGAGAGAGAGAGAGAGAGCGCATGAGCAGGGGGAGAAGCAGAGGGAGGGGGAGAAGCAGACTCCCCGCGGAGAAGGGAGTCCGATGCGGGGCTCAATCCCAGGACCCTGGGATCGTGACCTGAGCCGAAGGCAGACGCTTAACTATCTGAGCCACCCAGGTGCCCCTGGACTGGGGTCTTGTACTCATATACTGAAAAGCTGGATTTTTAAGTCAAACTCCTTCTCTTAGAATTTACAAATATGCATCTTGCTAATAAGAGGAACAGTAATAATTTAGATGTATTAGTTCAAAATGAGTAACAGTTCTATCTAATAATAAATAACTGGCAAAAGATGTGGATAATAGCCTAACTTGGGGGGGGGAAGGGTTCCAGAACATTAGTCTGGATTACTGAAGAATGGAATGCTGAGAAAAGAGAACAAACTTTTAAGTATTCTTTATCTTCCATAAGCAGAAGACTTTAATGAATAAAGAAACAGAAGTAATTTGTCTTAAACCAAGCATTTTCCAAGCTGAATTGAACAGAAACATCCAAGCACAGTCAATTACAATAAAGAATCTGTGAGAAAGGAAATAAGCGGTTTAGTAATAAAATAGAAAATCTGACCAATAGCAAACAGAGTGTAACATGATACAAGTTTTTCTCCCAAAAGAGCCACCGATTAGACCGCAAAAAGCAATCTGCTATGGTCTGAATATTTGTGTCCCCTCAAAATTCCTATGTTGAAATCCTAACCCCCTAGGTGATGCTATTAGGAGATGGGGCTCTGGGAGGTGATTAGGTCACAAGGGCAGAACCCTCATGAGTGGGATCAATGCCCTTATAAAAGAGGCCCGTGAGAACATCTGCTGGCTCCTTCCACCATGTGAAGACTGAGAAGTCGGCAGTCTGCAACCCAAAAGTGGGCTTTCACAGGCACCTTAATCTCGGACTTCCAGCCTTTAGAACTGAGAAATAAATTTCTGTTGTCATACGCCATCCAATCTCTGGTAGTTTTGTTACTAGCAGCCTGAACAGATAAGACAGAATCCAACATATTATTTGTAAGACACTCTTAAACTGAAAACGAAAAGACTGATCTCATCCATAAATACCGATGTCAAAATCTTAGTCAAAATATTAGCAAATAAAAAATACTGTTCCAGTGAAACATTAAAAAAGATACTGGAGAAAACCTTATGGTAACCAACAACAGACACTGGGAAAATATCATAAAACTCAACAACGATACCTGATTTTTAAAAATTTACACACCTCTAACCAAAAGCAAGATTCCTGCTTAATGCTGAAGTACTAGAAGCACTTGCACAGAAGTAAGGAAACAAGAAAAGGAGGTCTGCCACATCATCACCATTACTCAGCACTACTCTGGGGCAATGAGATAAGAGTTACACAAGAGTTAGCCTGGTGATGGGTATTAAGGAGGGCACGTATTGCATGGAGCACTGGGTGTTATATGCAAACAATGAATCATGGAACACTACATCAAAAACTAATGATGTGATGTATGGTGATTAACATAAAAAAAAAAGAATACAGAATAATATCTTTCCATATCAGTTAAAAAAAAAAAAGTATTACACAAGAAGCATCCATATCAGAAAAGAGGCAAAATTAATATTACCTTAATATGATGTTACTGTATTACTTAAAAAACTCAAGAAAACCAACCCAGAACAACTGAAACAATCAGAATCTGATGGTCAATTTATACAAAATTTTACAGAAAAATCAATAGCTTTCCTATATACTGAACAATAACCATTTGGAAGCCTGATATCAATTAAAAAAACTACAAAATGTCTAGGAATAAACTTAAACTTGAAGGATTAACATAAACTACAGAATTTTACAAGAGGAAATAAAAAAGAAAGATGAAGAAATGTACCTTGTTCTTGAGTAGACCCAGTACTATCAAGAGAACAAGACTGCCTATGTTAATCTACAACTTGAATGAAATAATCAAAATCTCACAAATATTTTTATTTTACCTTGCCAAAATGGTTCTAAGTTCTTTGGAAGAACAAATATCCCAGAATAGCCGTGAATATTCTGAAAAAGAAGAGCAAGGAAGAGAGACTAGCCCTACAAGATGCTCACAGATATACGGCCATGGTAATTAAAACAGTGTGGAATTCCTATAGGAACAAATAAAGAGACTGAAAGACTCCAAATTATGTGGCAATCCAGTGTACACATAAGATAACCCAGGGAGAAAAGACACATGTATTCGATAAACGGTACTGGACAAACTGATTAGCATTTATAACTAGAAAAAAAATGAAGGGAGCCTTAAGAAAAAAATTTCTGGCAAGAACAAAGATTTAAATGTAAAAACAAAGCCACAAAAGTACTAAATGAAAACAAGGACAAATATTTTAATAATCTTGAAGTAGGGAAAACCTTTCTAATCATTTTATTAAAATCCACACAACATAAAGGAAAATATTAATAGGACAAAATAAGAAAGTTACAGCAAGAATACCTCATGAACAAAATAAGAAAAAAGGCAAGCTGGGGCAAGATACATATTATTTGTCAAAGAGCTAATATCCTTACCATACAAAGAAATAGACAAAGGATAGGAACAGAAAATACAAAGATCAATAAACCAAAAAATCTCAATGTCATATTTTTTGAATGTACATTCAAACAAACTTATTTACCCAAACTGAAAAGATTAAAAAATGACTAGCCAACCAGTATTAGTGAAGAAACACAGGCAGACATAAACACGGCTAGAGGGAGTATGCATTTACAATCTTTTTGGAGAGAAATTTGGCAGCCTTTATTACATTTTTTTTTAAGAAACAGAGTATTAAAAAGAATGCAACATATTTATCAGTTAAAAAGGAAAACATTCAACATTAACTCACCGATCTTAGAAGGAAAAAGAGTTTCATCATCAAGCTGATCCTGAACCCAAGTCATCAAATAGTCAATGTATTTTGGTGCAGAACACTTGATTGGCTTTTTAATATTAGTACCATCTGCCCAATGATATTCGTATCTGGAGAGAAAAAGGTTTTACTTACAGAGTTTTCAAAAGCAGTAACAAATGTACAACTTGTAATAAAAGTAGGTCTACATTTTGTCAATTGAAGTTATATATAATTTAGTAAATTACCTCAAGTTCTACTGAAGGTTACTAAGAGTTCCCTATAGAATTATCCTGAAATAGGATAGTTATAATTGGAAGAGAAAAGGAGGATAATGTGGCAGCTGACAGTGCCAGAATGGATTTTTTTTTTTTTAAACACAGCCCTGGGAAAGATAAAGGAACTACACATTCCTGGCAGAGGGTGCTGAGGACTGGGTCAGAGACAGATGGATTCCCCTATATCCTGCAACAGCTGGCCATCAAGGTATCAACAACAGAGTCAAGATAATAAGACTCTTGTTTCTTGGGGGCGCGTAGGTGGCTCAGTCAGCAGCTGCCTTCGGCTCAGGTCACGATCCCAGGATTCTGGGATGGAGCCCCGCATCGGGCTCCCTGCTCAGCGGAGTGTCTGTTTCTCCCTCTGCCTCTGCCCCTCCACCTCCCCCGGCTTGTGTTGTCTCGCTCACTTGTGCTCTCTCTCTCTCCCGTGCTCTCTCAAACAAATAAAATCTTTTAAAAAATAAATAAATTCAACTGGGAAAAAAAAATCCAAAATCTTAAAAAAGACTGTTTCCTGGAGAGGGTACTAAAGAAACACCCTTAGGCATGCATCTTGTCCTCCCTCCCTTTGCTGAGCTAAAATGTGTAATAAGACTTCTGCAAAACTTCACTGTGTGAAGCATTTAAGCCATAGATAAGTTTAATTTTCTCATTTATTTTATTTAAATTTCTTTTCAGGAAGTTTGAGGAATAAAACTTAACACAAAATAAAAATATCCCTCCAAAATACTGTAATTAAAAACAGAACTACAAACTCATTGGACACCTTTTTCCCGTTATACCTATAGCAAATTCAGGAAAGGCAATGTTTTCCCAAAGGGTAAATATCTTGATACCATGTATCATCACATAAAATTAGTCATTTATTATTGGAAAAAAAGACTGGAAAGAAACACTAAAACATTAATCCCATCATACCTTGACTTAACATTATGGGTGATAAAAGAGTTCCACGTTTCTTAATATTTCTTAAAATTTATAATAGTCAAATTTCTTCTTATTTGAGAGAAAGAGAGGTGCACGTGCATGCACAAGCAGGGGGAGGAGGAGAGGGAGAGAGAATCTCAAGCAGACTCCCTGCTGAGCGCAGAGCCTGACGTGGGGCTCCATCCCATGACACTGAGTTCATGACCTGAGCAGAAATCAAGAGTCGGCCACTTAACCAACTAAGCCACCCAGGCGCCGCTGTAGTCAAATTTTTTCAATCTAGCATCTTTAAGCCAGATAATTAAAGCAGCACAATTTGGACATAATTAACACTAAATAAGCACAAGAAAAAAAACTGAACATTCATTATTTAGCATAATACAATTAAATACCATTATTTAGCATAATAAATTAAATACTAAGTACCACATACCAAAGTATTTAATAATAACTAAAAGCTTATAGGAACGTATTCAAGAACTCATAAAATTGAACTGCTTTTACACAAGCAAACAGATAAGAAAAACAAAAAGGCTTTGTTTAATTTATATCAATTAGTGATTAGCTTTATTTAGTACTTCAAATACCTATCTAATAGGCAGTGTATGTACCTTGGACCTGCAGACATGACTGGACAGCTTGCTTCAGTGCAGAATTCTGTAATAGTTCCATACAGCATGTTGATCTGGTTGAAGAAATCCACAGCTGGAAACGTAATACCAGAATTGTGTTAAAATGTTTGTGCAAACACAAAAAAACATCAGACCTCTCAGTTGAAGGAAAAACAGACAATGCCTTCAAGTTCTTGAATAAATCCTTAAGAGATTCAATGATCCAGGGGTACTGCAAATTCCCTTCTCCTTTTAAGCTGTCACACCTAATTAACTTTTAATATATATTCTCTTTAATATAGTAAGTTTTTAGCCAGGATAGAACAGCAGGAAAATAAAACCTCAGAATAATTCTAACTTATCGGTGACTACTGTATCATTAGAATATATAATTTGATTATATCCAAGGGAATGAAAAAATCCACTGCTTCCTATCAATCTGGACCAGACAATACCATTTGTGCTAGGAAAAAGCAGAAAGCATTGTAGAATAAATATCCTGTGAAGGAGAACGTGTATCAGCTGTATCAACAGGCATTTAAAACATCTTATAAAAAACCTCAAGCCTAATGCATACTGAGGACACAAAAAGGACATGAGATAATGTCCCTTGTCTTGGAGACTCCAGCTATCTGAAGGGACAAAATTGAAAGGAATAATAAATACAACATATAAGAGTTGAGAGAAAAGGCAGCATCTTGAGGGGCTGAGGTAGTCAGGGAGCACTTCCTACAGGAGCTTCAGCTAGATACGGAAGAAAACGGAAGAGGAAGGGGTAAGTAATGAACCTATCTGAGTCAAATGTTCCTCTGCAAAGACACCCACATAAGCCTTGGAAAGTTTTAAAAAATGTTTTAGTTCCCCGTCTAAAGGAGTACCTAAAACCCAACTAGGGCTTTTCCACATTTCTTAAAAAACAAATAGATAAAAAAAAGCTCCGTCTTGTCAAAAGGAGTTTTATATAAAATTCCCTCACTTATAAACCTTCCTTTTACTTAGTCACGTTGGAGAACAGCCTATATAAAGCAAAAAGTCTCAAAGAAAATTTGAAGGCTGAAGAAGGCCAACAGATGCCTTCAGATAACAGATGATAATGAGTGTTAAGGTACAAAAAAAAAACAGGGGAAGGTCTTTTCTGAATATATAATGCTTCACATGGTTCACAAAGATCTATAAAAACATATAGTGATAATTCTTAACCCCAACCACTCCAGCTTCCCCCTACAGATAACCACTACATTATTTTCTCCTGCCCCCTAAGCACCTGTATCCTGTCTTACACAAAAGATTTAACATATCACGTAGTTCTGCACCTTGTTTTTTCTCCTAGTAATATGAATAATGGCTTTTTAATGTGCTGAAAAAAACCAAAAAAAAAAAAAAATTTTTTTTTTTTAAAGATTTTATTTATTTTTTGACAGAGACAGAGACAGCGAGAGAGGGAACACAAGCAGGGGCAGTGGGAGAGGGAGAAGCAGGCTTCCCGCTGGGCAGGGAGTCCGATGCGGGGCTCGATCCCAGGACCCTGGGATCATGACCTGAGCCGAAGGCAGCCGCTTAACAACTGAGCCAGCCACCCAGGTGCCTCCCAAAAAAATTTTTTAATATGGCTACTAGAAAGTTTTAAATTACATTTGTAGCTCACATTATATTTCTATCAAACAGTGCTGATCAAAGGAGTGATTATCAATAGCTGAATAACACCACAAAGAAAGACAGCTAGACACTATGGAGGACATTATGGACACTGTTGGAAGTATATGCCACCACTTATAGTCTTCCAAACAAACAAAATCAAACCTGAATTTGAGCAAAGCTACACATCTGTGCTCATGTGGGAGCCACTAGCCACATATGGCTACTTACATTAAAATTAAATTTAAAATTCAGTTCCAGTCACACTAGCCACATTTCAGGAGCTAAATGGCCACAGTACAGATACAGAACATTTGCATCATTGCAGAAAGTTCTACTGGACAGTGCTGCTCTAGATCTACATTTACAGGAAATAAAAGGAAGAACAACATGATAATGGATGCCTTGGGGACACAATCAACAGAATTCATACTGTGGAAAATAAATGAACTGGTTTCTTCAACAACAAAATAGCAAGGAAAAAAGACTGCAACGAGCAGAAACCTATGAATTAAGAGAATCAACAAACATTACATATAGGCCTCATTAGTCCTGATTTAAACCAACCATAAATTTTTTAAAAAAAGAAACATTTAGAAGACAATCAGGGAAAATGTGAACACTGACTAGATATTTGCTAACACAAAGGAATGGCAGTATTGTCATTATCTTTAAAAGGGGGAGTTCCTGTCTTTTAGAGATATGGAATTTTAGAGATGAAATAATATGTTTGGGATTCACCTCAAAACAATCAGGGTGAGGTGGGCTGGCCAGGTCTCACTGCCAGCATGGAACCAACCAGGGGAGAGACAGGAAGAGTGGGGGGAGGTGGAGAGAGGAAGGAGGAATTAAAATATGAAAAGAAAAAAAAAAAAATCAGGGAGAGATATAGAAGCATGAATTGGCCAGGAACCAACTGTTGAAACTGGACAATGGATGCCTGGGAATTCACTATACTAGTTTCTCTACTTTGTATGTTTGAAATTTTCCATTAAGAAGTTTAAAAATTCCTGGAACATCTGAAGTTCCTGACAGATTTAAACCTTATCACCCGGCACTGATCTCACCTCAGAAATGACAGGCTCAAATATTCAAACCTCTAGCCTCAGTATTTATAACTGTCCACGTCATGCCCTCATTTTCTTGAACTCGAGCGACTTTCAGCTCATGGGTCCCTCCCATGTTCTCCCAATCTCTCAATTTCCTTCTGACTACTCCTAAGTCACAACAATCAAGTGACTTCTCTGTAATATGCAGGCAGATGAGAGCTGCTGGGAGAGGGGGATGCAATTGTGAAGATGGGCTCCCTACAAAGTCATGGTCCACTACAGGTAGAATTTTGTATTCTAATCTTTTATTTGACTTTACCCAATAATTCCTACCATTCTATCCTCAGAAATTACCCCAAAGCACTCAACATTTCTCCTCTGGTGTCTCTATCCAGCCACACAAGCTACATAACCAAGTACTCTGAAAGGAACAAAACAGTTTTAGATGTATTTGTACTTATGAATTTCTTTACAGGTAATCCATTACACTACAACAGTTATACCTATAAAAGAAAATTCATTAACAAAAAGATTTTAGCAAATTGTTCCTATAAATCAGCAATGCTGAATATTATTAAAAACTTACTGTTGGGCGCCTGGGTGGCTCAGATGGTTAGGCGTCTGCCTTCGGCTCGGGTCATGATCCCAGGGTCCTGGGATCGGGTCCCGCATCGGGCTCCCTGCTCCTTGGGAGCCTGCTTCTCCCTCTGCTTCTCTCCCCCTCTCTCTCTCCCTCTGTCTCTCATGAATAAAAATAAAATAAAATAAAATTTAAAAAACTTACTGTTAACAGCAATCCATTCATTGAGGTCCTCTCCCTCTGGCAACATAACAGCTTGTCTCAGATTCCCGCTTCCTAGAGTTGCCTCTGCATGTTTTAAGAGTTCATACTGATGAGAGCCCTCAGGGATATTCTTCTTTGGTTTGAATGTTTTAGAAGAGCGGCTGCTGCTGTTAGGTTGAAAGTAAAAGTATATCCATTTTTATTTTAGGACTGAAAGCAGAATGTCATAATTTTAGGCATACAAATTGTTCTGAAAATTTTAAAAAGTGCCAGGATGGGGAGGGGGTGATGATCACAAAAAAAAGAATGCTTTAAATGTTTTTCTTCACACAGATTCAGGATTAGCAACACAATTTCATACAGAACGCAATTTTACTAACCCTCATGAAGTAGTATGGTGTAACAGGATTCTAGTCCTTGATTTGCCACTAATTCTGTGACTGTCTGACAAAACAAACTTCCTTTGGGCTTCAATTTCTACTTACAGAAAATGGTGGGGGAGAGAGGTAGCTCTAAGTTTTGAATAGCTCAAAAATCCAGTTTTCTATATCAAAAGATCTGTGATGCCATCAAAGCAAACCACAGTAGAAGTGACATTAACATTCTGAAGTTATTAGCAGGGAGAATAAATGAGAGACAACTGGTTACTGTGAAAAAGCGTTCTCCTGTAAGGAAGCTAACAGGATAAGAAACCCAGAAAAAATGGAGGTATTTCTAACCATAAGAATTAAAATTTCCATAACAGAACAAAGAGACAAGTAACAAAAAAAGTACTCACAACATGTATTACAAAGTATTAACTAAAAAAAAAAAAAAATACTAACTAAAGGGCTTCAATAATCTTGTTAAGAAAAAGGTAAGGAACCCTTTAGAAAAATGGGCTACAGATCAACAGGGAACTCAGAAATAAAAATACAATGGCCAATGGACATATGAAAAACCGTTCAATTAAAATAACTTCCTTTTCCTTAATCTGAATGTCAGATTAAGTTACAACTACATTAAGTGTGAGCTAAGGTACAGGGAAATTAGTTTTTAATACACTCAGTGAAAGTGTAAAGGGTGGGGCGCCTGGGTGGCTCAGTCGTTAGGCGTCTGCCTTCGGCTCGGGTCATGATCCCAGGGTCCTGGGATCAAGCCCCGCATCCGGCTCCCTGCTTGGCGAGAAGCCTGCTTCTCCTTCTCCTACTTTCCCTGCTGTGTTCCCTCTCTCTCTGTCTCTGTCTGCCAAATAAATAAATAAAATCTTAAAAAAAAAAAAGTGTAAAGGGTATAATACTTTGGGAAGGCAGTATCTATAAACAGTATCTATAAACATCGAGGTGCTCCCAATCCATCCCTTCTACCTCTAGGTATCTCTCCTAGATATAGATAAGGATGTGGTTCCCAAGACTGGTTTTAACAGTGAAAAACTGGGAAATAATACTAAAACTTATTAGAAGAATAAATAAATTTGATATATCCATAATATGGAATACTACATAGTTAAGAAGAAGTTAGAGCTACACGTATTCACATGCCAAGTTCTCAAGTCATAGTTAAACATACTAAAGGACCAAATGTACAGCAGAAGCCCATCTTGTAAATGCATAGAATGTGTAGGAAAGGGGGCACCTGGCTGGCTCAGTCGGTAGAGCATGTGCCTCTTGATCTCGGGGTTGAGTTCAAGCCCCACACTGGGTGTAGAAATTACTTAAAAATAAAATCTTAAAAAAAAAAAAAAGAAAGAAAACTAACATGAAATGATGTCTCAAGATTCAACACGGTCTTCATCTAAATTAATACTTTTGTGGGGTGCCTGGGTGGCTCAGTCGGTTAAGCATCTGCCTTTGGGTCAGGTCATGATTCCCAAGGACCTAGGATCAAGCCCCACATCAGGCTCCCTGCTCAGCAGGGGGCCTGCTTCCCCCCCCCTTCTGCCCCTCTCCCCGACTTGCACTTTCTCTATCAGAGAAATAAAATCTTAAAAAAAAAATTTTTATATTCTTACAATTCAAAAACAACCCCAAAAAAACCCAATTTAAAAATGATCACAGGATTTGAATAGATATTACTCCAGAGAAGATATACAAATGGCCAAGAGCATACAAAAAGATGCTGACCATCATTAGTCATTAGGAAAATGCAAAGTAAAATCACAATGAGATAACATTTCACATCCACTGGGATGACTATAATCAAAAAGACAATTAACAAATGCTACCTATGGTGTGGGTAAATTGAAACTCTCATACAGTGCTGGTGGGAATGCAAAATGGTACAGTGCTCTGAAAAAGTTTGGCAGTTCCTCAAAAGATTAAACATAGTTAGCATATAACTCAGCAATTCCACTTCTAGATATTTACCCAAGAGAAATGAACATATGCATCCAATACAAAAATCTGAACACAAGAGTTCACACCCGAATTACTCATTATAGCCAAAAAGTGGAAACTCAAACGCCTGTCAACGAAAGTTTAAAAGAGAAAAACCACCTCACATTTCAATCCAAAAAGTAACTAAGCAACTGAGCATCCACAAACAAACCACTAGCTAAACATTAACTCCTAGGAAAAAGACTTTGGGAGTGGAGGGAGAAATTGTTCCAGTAATATGGAGATTTACAATTACAATCTAAATCGTACAAACTCTCAGACATGGTCATCATACTTTGTAGACCATACTTCAAAGAAATAATCGAAAGGCGGGGGAAAAATGATTTGAACAAGGGTATTCTCAGTAGTGCTATTTTATAATAGCAAAATACTAGATAGAATCCAAATTTCTCTGCTGTGTATGGGTTTGGTAAGATTTCAAATCCACTTGTTTATGACTTAAGTGAAATTTGTTTTAATCCACTTGTTTATGACAAAGACAAAAAAAAGTTGTTTTCATGTAAGAATGAAGTAAATTGTGTCAGGATGTCATCATCTCATCTATTCTCACCCATAAGAACTCAGCCGCTCAGCTGCAGAGGGGCCCTGCTGGGGCTTATCAGTGAAAACTTAGGGAGATGCAACTATGGCAAGGAGACATTTTTACTATAAATACCATGAATTTGTGCAGAGTACTGGAGAGTGTTAGGTCTGAGCAAGGTGACACTTTACTGACCTAAACAGCTTTCTGAAAACCTTGGGACAATTGGCCCCTGCCAGGCAAATGCCCAGCGCAGTAGGAAAATCCACTTGATGGTCAACAGCAGCGCCATAGATCCCTGGCAACAAGGACTTTCACTTTAGTGCCGGCAGCCGGACCTCAGCACTGGGTTGGCTAAGCCCAACCCCTCTCCTCAGGACCGACCATAAAGGTAGATCTCAACTAAATTTGGACTTTATTTTTTTCATCTCCCCTTGTCTGGAACAAAAGTGTATTTAATCTATCACTGACTTGGAGTATTTCATTAGTTTAATAAGAAACACTATCCGGTATGCTACTGGCCTATGAAATTCCCACAGCAAACCTGTTAAATACATTGCCGGCAAAGACAAACTCAGGTCTCTGAGCTTAATGTGCCTCTCAAAGCAAAACATTCTGACAATAAGGAACTGGATAAACTCTGGTTAAGGAACATTACGTACTTTAATAAAATTTAATAAAAATGTCAGATATGTCCTCAATCACACAACATATAAATTTAAGTAATGTACCAGGTAGAGAGAGCCACCTGAAATAAGGTACTGGAGCAATGCTTCCCAAACCTTAACATGCTTAAGAATCATCAGAGAATTCACAAAAGTTTCCATTTAAGCCTCATTTGGGCCCCAGGCCTTATCTCTAAAATAGGATTCTACCCAGGAAAAGTTAATTACACAAAGTGACAGCGGTGCCTGGCTGGCTCAGTCAGGAGAGCATGCTACTCCTGATCTCGGGGTTCTAAGTCTGAGCCCCATGATGGGTGTAGAGATTACTAACTAACTAAAATCTATACAAAGTCACGAAGTGGGCTGAATCCGAATTGGACAGAAGTCTGCACGCAAGGCCGCAGCTTAACTTCGAGCTTCTCAACTGCGGCACTCAACGTCTTCCTGGGGGCAGCATTTTTCCGCGGGGGTAATTTAATACTGAAGATAATAAAACTTGACATATGGTGGAGTAAAAAGCTAAGTCAGCATGGATCGGTACTAGAAAGCTCCAGACTTGAGAGGAATCGGGAGCCCAGCGGCCGGGCTCGGGGCTCCACCCCCAGGTCGTCCCTCCGCCCTCAGGGGCTCTGGGGCGGAAAAGTTTGGAGGCACTGCCGGCCTCGGGGCCTCTCTACTCCGCAACCCTCTCGCTCCGCTTCCTTTGCCTCGACCTTCACCTCCGTCTGCCTGGGCCCACGTCCGCGCCTCTCCCGTGGCCCGCGGACGGAGGGGGCGGGGGGCGGGCAAAGCAAACGTCGGCCGCTCACACCCCGACCCCGGGGCCCGGCCCTTGCCTCAGGCGCCCGCTCGCCCCCTTCCTCCCCCTCGCCCTCGGCCTTCAGTCCTCGGGGCCCTCGGCCCGGCCACACTCACAAGAGGAAGCTCATCTTCTATCCTCGGAGGGGAGGGGCCACTGGCCCCCGCCGCGGTCTGGATTCGGAGCCCGCGCGGGAACCACGAGGAAGCGGACAGTCCTCAGCTCGCGGCCAGCAGAAGCACCGGGCGCCGGGACTCTGAACCGAGGGTCGAGCCGGTGCCAGTTGCTGCTCTCGCCTCCCCCACCTTGCCGACCCGAAATGCGGAACCAGCAAAATCTCGCGAGCTAAGGCTTCGGCCCGCCCCGCCCCTGCGAGAGGGACTTGGCGCACCCCTCTTCGCCCCGCCCTCTCCTACAGATCAGCCAATCAGCGACCTCCAAGCCGGGACTTCCTCCTCCTGGGGGCGTGGTCAGTTCGTGGTCCCTGGCCTAGGGGAGTGGCTCACCTTGTGCTTGGTCTGGGTTATTGCTGTTGGTTTGCGGGCATCCTCTTTATAAGGCAAGGGGTCTCCAAAAGCGCTGCAATCTTTAAGAATTTATTTTGATTTTTAAGTTGAGATATAGTTCACATAGCATGAAATTCATCCTTTAAAAATTTACACTCCAGTGGTATTTTTCCTCTATTCGGAGTTAGGCAACCATCACCTCTAATTCTAGAACATTTTCATCACCCGGAAAAGAAACCCATTAGCAGTCATTCCCCTTCCTCCCTCCTGGCAACCGCTGGCAACAACTAGTCAACCTTTTTTATATGGACTTGCCTCACCTGGACATTTCACATAAATGGGTTTACACAATATATGGTCTTGTGACTGGCTTCTTTCACTTAGTATAATGTTTTCAAGGTTCATCCACATTGTAGCATGTATAAGTAAGTACTTCATTTCTTTTTATGGCTGAATAATATTCCATCATATGAGTATACCTATTTTGTCTGCCCATTCGTCGGTTGATGGGCATTGAGTTGTTTCTACTTTTTGGCTATTATAATTAATGCTGTTACAAATATTCCTGTAGTGGTTTTTGTATGGACAAATGTATTATACCTAGTAGTGTCTGGGTCATATGGTAACTATATGTTTAACTTTTTGAGGAACTCCCAAACTGTTTTCCGAATTGGCAGCACCATTTTACATTCACACTGGCACATGTCTGAGGGTTCTAGTATTTCCATATCCTTGATGACATTTGCTATTGTCTTCTTTTTTAAGTGTTTTCAGGGGCGCCTGGGTGGCTCAGTTGGTTAAGCAACTGCCTTTGGCTCAGATCATGATGCTGGAGTCCTGGGATCGAGCCCCTCATCAGACTCCCCGCTCGGCAGGGAGTCTGCTCCCTCTGACCCTCCCCCCTCTCATGCTCTCTCTGTCTCATTCTTTCTCTCTCAAATAAATAAATAAAATCTTTAAAATAAAATAAAAATAAAATTGTTTTCAGGTACATTTACCTTTTTTTTAAGATTCATTTATTTATTTTAGACAGAGAGAGAGTGCATATGCAAGCAGTGGGAAGGGCAGAGAGAATCTGAAGCAGACTCCCCACTGAGGGTGGAGCCCAATGAGGGGCTCTAGATGGGGCTTGTTGTGGGGTTTAATCCCATGACCCCAAGATCATGACCTGAGCCAAAATAAGGAGTCCACACTCAACTGACTGAGCCACCCACCCGCCCCACTATTGTCTTTTAATCTCATTGTAACTTTGATTTGAATGTCCCTGTTGGCTGCTGTCAAGATCTTTTCATCTGCTTATTGGCCATATGAAAGAAATTTACTTTTATCTTCCTTTAAAGTTATCTCAGCCCCTCAAAGGATGATACAACAACCTAAAAGGGGTTCCAGTTCAATAATATAGTTCACTGTCTCCATGACATCACCATCCCTTTGTTCCTCAACACCCATCAATCCAGATTCTACACCCCACCTGACCTCCTGAAAAAATTTGTCTCATCAATCTCTCCAGTATCTTAGCTTCTAAATTCCATGGGTATTTTTCAGTCCTTAACTTACTTGCCACTTAGTTCTATCTGGCCCATCCTACCAGACTCCTCATTTGATCACAGTGATTTCATTTTTCAAGAACCTCTTTCTTAAAAGACAAAAAACCTCTTTATTATTCCCTGTGATCTGGTTTCTATAAAGTGAGATTGGGGGGCACAGAAAAGGGAAGACCATGACCAGAATGTTGTAATAGATTACTTTAGTCACACTTTTTTGGTAGCAAGTGACAGAAACCCACACTGTTTGTATTTCCATCTGACCTGTCTTATATTTTCTTGAAACCTGCCAGTGCTACTTAATAATCATATGATCTTTTAAGTATTTTATATCCTTTGCCTTGGTTTTCTCATCTGTAAAATGGGGAACAACCTCATAGGGTTATGGGGATTAAATGAGTTCAAATATAGAACTCAACTAAGCCTATTCTTGGAACATATACTGGATTAACTTTTGCTATTTAAAAAAGAAATTTTGACATGTCTTATTGAGACAGAGAAACTGAAGGAACCCCATGAAAAAAAAAAGCTGTTTGTTTTTTTTCTCTTTGCTTCTCTTCCGGTTCTATTCTTGCTAGGACCTGCACCCCTACCCCACTCTACACACACCTTGTAATGCAATAGCATATGTCCTCCTTGTAAGGGACAAAGAGATAATGATGTCTTTGGAGTCTTCCAGCACAATATATAACATCTAAGGAGTGACTGGGTGAGGTCATCATAAAGGTTCTCTAAGACCACTGACTCCAAATACCTTGATGCCTAGACCCCTGGCTTCAGGGAATGAGTGACTTACGGACACCTGGACCCTGTCCTTGTTCTGACCAGTTCCTGGATGCCTAAGAGGACACGTGCACTACACCAGACCACAATCACTAATAAAACCCCAGGCCCCAAGCAAAGATGAGACATATACTCTTTTCCCTTCCAAGTCTCCTGGATGCTCTGTCTGTATCTCTCTCACTCTCTCTGTATATATACCTTTAATAAACTCTGCTTTCACCTACTGCTGGCTCAGGTTTGATTTCCATCCTGCATGAAGCCAAGGACTCTCTTCACTAGTCCTGCGGGACCCCCTCTGGGTCCTCGGACTAGGCCTACCCACGTCATTATCACCTCTATTGGATGGCCAGCTTCCTGGCAGCAAATCCCAATTTGTTTACTTTTGCATTTTACACGTGTCAACCGTGGGGCCTTGTGTCAGTGTAGATATTTGGAAAATACTTGCTACGTGAATGTGATTGGATAGCTGGCTATATATTATTTATTATTTTTTAAAGATTTATTTATTTTAGAGAGTTGTGGGGGGAGGAGGGGCAGAGGGAGAGGGAGAGAGAGTCTCAAGCAGATTCTGTACTAAGCACAAAACCCGACTTGGAGCCCAATTCCACGACCCAGAGACCACGACCTGAGCCAAAATCAAGAGTCGGATACCCAACCAACTGAGCCACCCAGGCACCCCTATATATTATTTTAGACTAATTCTTTAATTGACGTAGTCCCTGAATTTCAGTAGTTTTGTATAGCTTGGGAAGTAGTTATATATGTTTGCCCAGAAAGTACATGCTCACCTTTTTTTTTTGTCTTTTATCCACCATGGGTTTCCCCAATGAAGAATAATTTTTGATCAACTGACTGTGAAATGACCGTATATGGCAGTACATATGTTCTGGGAGGGATGGAAGTGCTTTCCCCAGACACTTTTACAAGGAAGCCATGTGGGAAAACCACAGAAATAGATCACTAGGATCCTGGAGGGAAAGCTGAGGAAAGTCCTATGCTGGTTCTGTACCCTTAGCTTCTGAGAGAGAACGCAGCCACTAAATGCTAGAGCAGTGGTAAATTGGAAACTAGATCTATGTGTTTTGGATACCCATGTATTTTCTATGAGAATTTTTTATGTGGTATTTTCTGCTTGTTGTACACATGCTCGCTGTCTCTCACACACACACAATTATTCTGGACCATATAGTCTCATAGAATTACAGTGTGAGCCACTTGTATAATTTAAAACTTTCTAAGATAGATATATATATATACACATATATACATATTTCTAGGATATATATGTCTATTATTTTTTTAAAGATTTCATTTATTTGAGACAAAGAGCATGAGCTGGAGGGATGGGCAGAGGGAGAGGGAGAAGCAGACCCCCCCGCTGACCAGGGAGCCCGATGCCGGGCTCAATCCCAGGATCCTGGGATCATGACCTGTGCTGAAGGCCGACGCTTAACCAACTGAGCGACCCAGGTGCCCCTCTAGGATATATATTTTAAAAAGCAGAAATAAACACAGACAAAAAATCCAGGTGGAATTAATCTTGATAATATATTTTATTTAACTCAATATACCCCAAATAATGTGATTTTTAACATGGAATCAATTTTAAAATAGTGAATGAGCCATGTTGCTTTTTTTCATTCTAAGTCATCAAAATATGATATGAGTGTATTTTACATACATGCAGCTTAATCCAGACTATCTACATTTCAAGTGCTCAGTAGCCACATATGGCTAGTGGGGGCCATATGGGACGGTATAATTCTAGATCAACTGTATGACCCTCTGATGATACAATTTCAGTACCGTGGATCCATTTGTGCTTGCTCTTGTTGGTACTAAAGTGCCAAGTTGTTATGATCTAATGAAACATTAACAGAAGCAAATGATATGAAAATAATGCATTAGCACCAAGTGCCAGCTACATGATGCCATGGTCGAATGAAGAAACCAAGGAAAAGGAAAATTGTGGGAGAAGAATCATAAATCAATAGATGGTGGTACAGGATGCCCTGTGCAAAAGAACTTGCCCCGGACCTGTCACTACGATATTCATGTTGCAGGTGATTTCATTTCATCCAAGTATAACCTGTCACATTAAGTGATGATCGTATTTTGATTTTATTAACTTCAGTAGTTTTGTTGGTGTTTAATTTATAACCATTTTTTTTTTTAAAGATTTTGTTTATTTTTTTGACAGAGAGAGACACAGCGAGAGAGGGAACACAAGCAGGGGGAGTGGGAGAGGGAGAAGCAGGCTTCCCGCCAAGCAGGGAGCCTGATGTGGGGCTCGATCCCAGGACCCTGGGATCATGACCTGAGCTGAAGGCAGACGCTTAACGACTGAGCCACCCAGGCGCCCCATAGCTGTGTTTTTTGATAGTTATAAAAAGCTATAAACATAAAAACATGTATGGATTTATAGTTTTATAATAATTTATATTATTTAAATAATGTAATTACCATGAAAATATTTCCAAACAGCATG